TATTAGTGCTCTCACCATGTGTGTTCCTTGAGTAGTCCCGTTAGATTCTCTCAAAAATTACTGCAACTTATTCGGAACTTCAATAGGGTGTCGTTTTGTCTTCTATGTTTGCCCTTTAGTGAAAATATCATTTTGAGTTTAATATTTAATTTTTTTTAAGGATCATTTTTTCTCATCTCTTATAATGTAATAAAAAAATTTGTAAAAGATTATCCTTGTTAAAAAGAATTGAAAAACTTTATCCTTACATCAAGCAACCAGTCAATGGCAACCCCCTATAATTTGAAAGAACTGCCTTGTTGCTGTTTATTTGTTAAATCGGACTCTCAATCCCATTCCAAAATTTATTTAATGGTAACAAGTGATGCAAATTGCCTTAACTTTTGTTTTTTTCACGTAATGAGTAAAGTAGTAACATCTTATTTTATAAATATCTTTTTCATATAATGAGTAAAATGATAATATTTTATTCTATAAATAAAAATACTATTAAAACGTATTATGTTTGATTCACCAACTCTTCTCCTTCATTTCTATTAAAAATATATAATAAGTAGCATATCTTTAAATTGTAAGGCATTGAAACACCAAACTATAGCATAAATAAAATTTCTTTGTAAAAAAAAAATTTGTTAATAAAAATAATTAAATATCTAAAAGAATAGATGTAATAACTCATAAAATTACTTTTTTCATAGGTCAAAACCATTTCAATAGTTAGATGGTTTTTATCAAGTTTCAAATAAAAAACATGTCACAATCGATATATTTGCACTTTGATCTCTCACTCTTTTTTACTGAGAGAAAGTTGATCAAGAAATATATATTTCATATTCTTTGCAATTAATTCACCCTTAAATATTTTAAAAATTTTAGCAACAAAATATTTGAAAATAAAAAAAAAGATGTAACATAATTAGGAGAAAAACAAATTGATGGTTAAAATCAAATACCTATTCATATTGAGAAAAAAAAATTCAAGCACCTATACTCTGCAACCAAAATTTGAATTTAGAAAAATCTTTTAAACAAAGTAACAATGAAAGAAGGTAAGGAATTTAAATAGTTGATACTTAATTCTTCATCTTCTTTTTGTTAGATAAATTTTTTTTTTTCCATTTTTCTTCTTTTGGTTGCCTTTTCATTTACCACAGTTATTCACAATTATTTTTATCATTTATATATTTTCAATTATTTGTCTCTTCATCTACCACTTTGATTATCATTTATAACTTTTTTTTTATTTTCATTTATTTATTTTGCATACCTTATTTAATGCATAAGATGGCATTTCTTCTTTTGGTTGCCTTTTCATCTATCATATCTATTCACAATTATTTTTTATCATTTACATATTTTCAATTATTTATCTCTTCATCTACCACTTTTATTATCATTTATAACTTTCTTTTTATTTTCAATTTTTTCCCATTTTTCTTCCTTTGGTTGCCTTTTCATTTACCACAGTTATTCACAATTATTTTTATCATTTACATATTTTCAATTATTTGTCTCTTCATCTACCACTTTTATTATCATTTATAACTTTTTTTATTTTCATTTATTTATTTTGCATACTTTATTTAATGCATAAGATGGCATTTCTTCCTTTGGTTGCCTTTTCATCTGCCACATTTATTCACAATTATTTTTTATCATTTACATATTTTCAATTATTTATCTCTTCATCTACCACTTTTATTATCATTTATAACTTTCTTTCTTTTTTCATTTTTTTTTTCATTTTTCGTCCTCTGGTCGCCTTTTCATCAACCACTTTTATTCACAATTATTTTTACCATTTACATATTTTCAATTATTTATCTCTTCATCTACCACTTTTATTATCATTTATAACTTCTTTTTATTTTCATTTTTTTCCCATTTTTCTTCCTTTGGTTGCCTTTTCATCTACCACATTTATTCACAATTATTTTTATCATTTACATATTTTCAATTATTTATCTCTTCATCTACCACTTTTATTATTATTTATAACTTTCTTTTTATTTTCATTTTTTTCCCATTTTTCTTCCTTTGGTTGCCTTTTCATCTACCACAATTATTCACAATTATTTTTATCATTTACGTATTTTCAATTATTTGTCTCTTTATCTACCACTTTTATTATCATTTATAACTTTCTTTTTATTTTTATTTATTTATTTTACATACCTTATTTAATACCTAAGATGGCATTTCTTCTTTGGTTGCCTTTTCCTCCACCACATTTATTCACAATTATTTTTTATCATTTACATATTTTTAATTATTTATTTCTTCATCTACCACTTTTATTATCATTTATAACTTTCTTTTTATTTTCATTTTTTTTCCATTTTTCTTCCTCTGGTCCCCTTTTCATCAACCACATTTATTCACAATTATTTTTATCATTTATTCACAATTTTTATCAGAGAGAGCCAAAAGCCATCAATTTTCCATATAAATCAGCTTGAAATTAATGAAAGGTACCGAAGTGATGTGACATAAAATATGCAACATGGTAATTAATTTGTTGGTATGATTTAATAAAGTAATTTTAAGCCTTTATTTATCAAAATACAGCTGGTTCTTCTTTTCTTCTTTTGTAGCGACCATCGAGCTTGAATCGATGGATTCCTTTTTGCGCAGATCATGTTACTCCATTAATCAGGCTTCGTGATAAAAAAAGTATAAATTATTATATTTTTATTAAAATAAAAAATTAATATATATCAATTTTAATTTTTAAAAATAATTAAAGCCTTTATTTATCAAAATACAGCTGGTTCTTCTT